ATCATCCCAGGTACTGGACAATAATCATCCCAGGTACTGGACTGTAATCATCCCAGGTACCGGACAGTAATCATCTAAGGTACTGGACAGTAATCATCCCAGGTACTGGACAGTAATCATCCCAGGTACTGGACAGTAATCATCCCAGGTACTGGACAGTAATCATCCCAGGTACTGGACAGTAATCATCCCAGGTACTGGACAGTAATCATCCCAGGTACTGGACAGTAATCATCCCAGGTACTGGACAGTAATCATCCCAGGTACCGGACAGTAATCATCCCAGGTACCGGACAGTAATCATCCCAGGTACTGGACAGTAATCATCCTAGGTACCGGACAGTAATCATCCCAGGTACTGGACAGTAATCAGCCCAGGTACCGGACAGTAATCATCCCAGGTACTGGACAGTAATCAGCCCAGGTACCGGACAGTAATCATCCCAGGTACCGGACAGTAATCATCCCAGGTACCGGACAGTAATCACCTCAGGTACCGGACAGTAATCATCCCAGGTACCGGACAGTAATCATCCCAGGTACCAGACAGTAATCATCCCAGGTACTGGACAGTAATCATCCCAGGTGCCGGACAGTAATCATCCAAGGTACCGGACAGTAATCATCCCAGGTACCGGACTGTAATCATCTAGGTACTGGACAGTAATCAGCCCAGGTACCGGACAGTAATCTATCCCAGGTACCGGACTGTAATCATCCCAGGTACTGGACTGTAATCAGCCCAGGTACCGGACAGTAATCATCCCAGGTACCGGACTGTAATCATCCCAGGTACTGGACAGTAATCAGCCCAGGTACCGGACAGTAATCATCCCAGGTACCGGACAGTAATCATCCCAGGTACTGGACAGTAATCATCCCAGGTACTGGACAGTAATCATCCCAGGTACCGGACAGTAATCACCCCAGGTACCGGACAGTAATCAGCCCAGGTACCGGACAGTAATCTATCCCAGGTACTGGACAGTAATCATCCCAGGTACCGGACAGTAATCAGCCCAGGTACCGGACAGTAATCATCCCAGGTACCGGACAGTAATCATTCCAGGTACCGGACAGTAATCTATCCCAGGTACTGGACAGTAATCTATCCCAGGTACTGGACAGTAATCATCCCAGGTACCGGACAGTAATCATCCCAGGTACCGGACAGTAATCTATCCCAGGTACTGGACAGTAATCAGCCCAGGTACCGGACAGTAATCATCCCAGGTACTGGACAGTAATCACCCCAGGTACTGGACAGTAATCACCCCAGGTACTGGACAGTAATCATCCCAGGTACCGGACAGTAATCATCCCAGGTACCGGACAGTAATCATCCCAGGTACCGGACAGTAATCAGCCCAGGTACCGGACAGTAATCATCCCAGGTACTGGACAGTAATCACCCCAGGTACCGGACAGTAATCACCCCAGGTACCGGACAGTAATCACCCCAGGTACCGGACAGTAATCATCCCAGGTACTGGACAGTAATCACCCCAGGTACCGGACAGTAATCATCCCAGGTACTCGAGTACTACCGGTTCCATTTCGCCCGCAATTCAGACGTCTGAAAATTAGAGCCTAATTACCAGATAAGAGCTTATGGCAATACTTCACCTCCTGACAAGAGATTAATGTGTCGAATTTATTTTCATTAAGAGTCAATTATCTATCGAACAACCTCTCAATTATGCCCTTACAGTCTGCTGCACTGGACAGTGGACGTCACCCATCACTGGTTCGGGTTCGAGGCCTGGGATTAGTTGCTCTGTTGTCATTTTGTGGTGTTTATCAAAGGGGATGGATTGGTTGACTTCTGTTGCCCGTTGTTCCTCTCTGTTGGATCGGTGTCTGCCGTTGGCGTTGTTTCTGTCTGTTTGGATCTGTGTCTGCCGTTGGCGTTGTTTCTGTCTGTTGGGTCTGTGTCTGCCGTTGGCGTTGTTTCTGTCTGTTGGATCTGTGTTGCCGTTGGCGTTGTTTCTGTCTGTTGGATCTGTGTTGCCGTTGGCGTTGTTTCTGTGTCTCCCGTTTCTGTTGTTCTTATTGTATTTGTATCTCCTGCTGCAACTGTTCTTCCCTGTTGAACCTGGCCTTCCCTGTTGCCCCCTGTTGAATCTAGGCTTCCTGTTGTCCAACCACTGTTCTTCTTTGTTGAACTTGTGTCTCCCAGTTGACGCTGTTCTCTCCTGTTGGGACTGTTCCTGTTACCTCTGTTCCCGGTTTTGTTTCCGTTAAACCTATCTTATCACATCTGTAGATGTCGCTTCTTGCGTATACGCTATAAATCAACATTCTGTTGCCCCATCTTCCGTTACCTGTTGCTCCAAAACCTATTTTCCTGTTGGCTGTATCTGGGTAGTTTCAATGGATGTTGCTTGAGTTTGTAAATATTTTTTTTCTCAGTTTTTCCTCATTAATTCTCGGCTATTCTCACTGGAAACTTCTCATTTTCTCATTGTTTCTCACTGGGATTCGAGAGCTCTTTTTATGTCTACATTTGCATCATGTCCTCATCAACAGAGGTTAAATGTCCGTTAATCCAGACAACAAATTTGCCTTCTTCCTCATATTTGCTGTTGCTACTGTTCCTGTTGCTACTGTTCGTGTTGGTACTGTTGCTGTTGCTGGAGCCGCTGCTGTCTAGTGGGTTGCTGCAGCCGCTGCTGTCTGGTGTGTTGCTGGAGCCGCTGCTGTCTAGTGTGTTGCTGCAGCCGCTGCTGTCTAGTGGGTTGCTGGAGCCGCTGCTGTCTAGTGTGTTGCTGCAGCCGCTGCTGTCTAGTGGGTTGCTGGAGCCGCTGCTGTCTAGTGTGTTGCTGGAGCCGCTGCTGTCTAGTGTGTTGCTGGAGCCGCTGCTGTCTAGTGGGTTGCTGGAGCCGCTGCTGTCTAGTGGGTTGCTGGAGCCGCTGCTGTCTAGTGTGTTGCTGGAGCCGCTGCTGTCTAGTGTGTTGCTGGAGCCGCTGCTGTCTGGTGTGTTGCTGGAGCCGCTGCTGTCTGGTGTGTGGCTGCAGTCGCTGCTGTCTGGTGTGTTGCTGCAGTCGCTGCTGTCTAGTGTGTTGCTGGAGCCGCTGCTGTCTAGTGTGTTGCTGGAGCCGCTGCTGTCTAGTGTGTTGCTGGAGCCGCTGCTGTCTAGTGTGTTGCTGGAGCGCCTGCTGTCTAGTGTGTTGCTGGAGCCGCTGCTGTCTAGTGTGTTGCTGCAGTCGCTGCTGTCTAGTGTGTTGCTGGAGCCGCTGCTGTCTAGTGTGTTGCTGCAGCCGCTGCTGTCTAGTGTGTTGCTGGAGCCACTGCTGTCTAGTGGGTTGCTGCAGCCGCTGCTGTCTAGTGTGTTGCTGGAGCCGCTGCTGTCTAGTGTGTTGCTGGAGCCGCTGCTGTCTAGTGTGTTGCTGGAGCCGCTGCTGTCTGGTGTGTTGCTGCAGCCGTTGCTGTCTAGTGTGTTGCTGGAGCCGCTGCTGTCTAGTGTGTTGCTGGAGCCGCTGCTGTCTGGTGTGTTGCTGGAGCCGCTGCTGTCTAGTGTGTTGCTGGAGCCGCTGCTGTCTGGTGTGTTGCTGCAGCCGCTGCTGTCTAGTGTGTTGCTGGAGCCGCTGCTGTCTGGTGTGTTGCTGCAGCCGCTGCTGTCTGGTGTGTTGCTGGAGCCGCTGCTGTCTAGTGTGTTGCTGCAGCCGCTGCTGTCTAGTGTGTTGCTGCAGCCGCTGCTGTCTAGTGGGTTGCTGGAGCCGCTGCTGTCTAGTGTGTTGCTGGAGCCGCTGCTGTCTAGTGTGTTGCTGGAGCCGCTGCTGTCTAGTGTGTTGCTGGAGCCGCTGCTGTCTAGTGTGTTGCTGGAGCCGCTGCTGTCTGGTGTGTTGCTGGAGCCACTACTGTCTAGTGTGTTGCTGGAGCCGCTGCTGTCTAGTGTGTTGGTAGAGCCGCTGCTGTCTAGTGTGTTGCTGCAGCCGCTGCTGTATAGTGTGTTGCTGGAGCCGCTGCTGTCTGGTGTGTTGCTGGAGCCGCTGCTGTCTAGTGTGTTGCTGGAGCCGCTGCTGTCTGGTGTGTTGCTGGAGCCACTACTACTACTCTCTCACTCTTTCTCTCTCTCTCTCTCTCTCTCCCTCCCCCTCCCCCCTTCTCCCCCCCTCCCCCCTCTCCCTCCCTCTCTCCCCCCTCTCCCTCCCTCTCTCCCCCCCCTCTCCCTCCCTCCCTCTCTCCCCATTGGTCCGCTGCTACGTAACTACCTGACCTAATTGAGGGTGTGACTCCAGCTTTCTTAAGATAGTTTGACGCCCGCCTCAACCATCCAGCAGGGTGTTAAACTGCCAGGGCTGGAAGACGGCCTAATTACTGCTTGCCACGGCCCTAATTGCCCTCAACCACTTAACAGTATTCCAGAAGACTAACAATTACGCCATTGGGGGGACGAGGAGGAGGAGGAGGAAGCAGCAGCCAAGCTGTTGCATCGGGGGGATTGTGTTGTAGTTGAGTTGCAGTTACAACTGCAACACAATCATTCAACTCAATAGCGAGACTATTGAGTTGAACGGCTAACGTTGCACAGGATTAATGCAGATGGCGATGGGAGGATTAAAAAGAAGGATTATAGCCTTGCGGGGGTGGGGGGTGGGGGGGGGTTGGTCCGGTGGACCAGGGGGTGGGGGAGGGTGGGGGGTGGTCTGGTGGACCAGGGGGTGGGGGAGGGTGGGGGGTCTGGTGGACCAGGGGGGTGGGGGAGGGTGGGGGGACAGGTGGACCAGGGGGTGGGGGAGGGTGGGGTGGTGGACCTGGGGGTGGGGGAGGGTCGGGAGGACCAGTGGTAGGTATATAAAAACCCTGACCGCGATCTGATGGGCCCAATATTACCGCGGTGATGGACTGGCCGCCCAACAGATTTAACAGCTTAATTAGCATCACTCTTAATGGTAATTACGAGACACTTAGACGCGATTAAAACATCGCGCGCAAAACGCGAGCTGGAGCTGGCTCGCTCGCGAGATTACGTCAGGACGTTATTGGCGCTAATGTCTTTATCTTTAATAACTCTCTCGGTAAAAAGTTAATGACATGTTTATAAAAATTTTAAAGTTTTGCAAAAAACGGCGTAGGTGAGGCTGCCTGGAGAGGTAGCAGAGGAGGCAGGAGGAGCTGCCTGCTGCTGGAGCAGCTGTCTGCTGGAGCAGCTGTCTGCTGGAGCAGCTGTCTGCTGGAGCAGCTGTCTGCTGGAGCAGCTGTCTGCTGGAGCAGCTGTCTGCTGGAGCAGCTGTCTGCTGGAGCAGCTGTCTGCTGGAGCAGCTGTCTGCTGGAGCAGTTGTCTGCTGCAGCAGCTGTCTGCTGGAGCAGCTGTCTGCTGGAGCAGCTGTCTGCTGGAGCAGTTGTCTGCTGGAGCAGCTGTCTGCTGGAGCAGCTGTCTGCTGGAGCAGCTGTCTGCTGCCTGCTGCACAGGTAGCACAGTTTCATCAACCCCAATACCAAGTTTCAGAAGCCTGAATCATCTGCAAATGAAACATACAAACACATGAAGTCAACTCACTCAGTCACATCTGAAGTCTGTGACCCCCCCCCCCCCCCCCCACCCCCCCCACCCTTGGAGGAGGCCCACAGAGGAATTAAACAACTGGTCCCGGACAGGAAGGGCACGAGACATGAAGCAGGGGGCGTCAGGCCGCTGCGCCCATCACCCCTACGTCTTAACGTGGCGCGCGACAGCCATTCCCAGTCACTTAACGCATCAATCGGAGGTTGCAACATTAATTCATCATTTACTTGATGATATTCCCACCGCAACATTAAGATATTCATCATTAACTTGCGGTGGGAAACGCGCCTCAACAAATGCAACATTTTACATGTTCAACGATGGCAGTTCATTTGCATATTGCCTTAATAATCCATCGTTTTTTTTCCTAGACGGTAAAATATGACAGGATTCTCCGCGAACTTTCATTGTTCTTTAGACATATGGTAATGAGCTGTTGTTGGCCACAATCGTCTTGGGACTTATATTAGGGTGGTGCAGTGGTAAGACAGTCGCCCTGCGCTTCGCGCGAGCGCTTTTGCCTGGGTTCGAAACCTGGAGGATTTGACTGGGCGACAATCCTTAACTGTACGCCTCTGTTCACCCAGCAGTAAAATAGATACCTGGTTGTTAAACGATTTGGTAGGGCGTATTCTTGGGGGGGGGGGGGGGGGGGGGCCAATTAAGATTAAGGACCTGAGGGCAAGATTCACGAAGCAGTTACGCAAGCACTTACGAACCTGGGGCTAGATTCACGAAGCAGTTACGCAAGCACTTACGAACCTGGGGCCAGATTCACGAAGCAGTTACGTAAGCACTTACGAACGTGTCCATCTTTCCTCAACCTTTGACGGCTTTGGTTACATTTATTAAACAGTTTACAAGCATGAAAACTTGCCAATCAACTGTTGTTATTGTTATAAACAGCCTCCTGGTGCTTCGGAGCTCATTAACTGTTTAATAATTGTAAACAAAGCCGCCAAAGATTGTAAAAAGATGGACAGGTTCGTAAGTGCTTGCGTAACCGCTTCGTGAATCTGGCCCCTGCCCGAAACTCTATGCGTGCTAGTGGTTTTACAACCATGTAACAATTCTTGTATATGTAAATAAGTTATATATAAGTAAGTAAAGGGCTCACACAGGCACACTGGTAAGGGGGTTTGGTAGCTGAGCGGCCAGCGCGTAGGACTCGTAATTCTGTGGCCCGGGTTCGATTCCCGGACCAGGCACAAACAAATGGGCAAAGTTTCTTTCACCCTGAATGCCCCTGTTACCTAGCAGTAAATAGGTACCTGGGAGTTAGTCAGCTGTTACGGGCTGCTTCCTCTGTGTGTGTCTGAGTAGTTAGTAGTTAGTAACAGTTGAGAGGCGGGCCGAAAGAGCACAGCTCATCCTCCCCAAGCACAACTAGGTGAATGCACACGCACACACACACACGCACAAGCGCACACACACACGCACGCATACACACGCACGCACACACACACGCACACACACACACGCACGCACACACACACGCACACACGCACGCACACACGCACACACACGCACACACACACGCACACACACACACACGCACACACACACACACACACACACACACACACACACACACACACACACACACACACACACACACGCACACACACACACACACACACACACGCACGCACACAATATAACAAGGGAACACAGATGGAAGTTTGAGATTCAGATATGTCATAGAGATGCCAAAACGTTTTCTTTTAGCTTAACCCTTAAGAGTAGTGAACAAATATAATAAATTAAAGGAACTAATTCACGACACTAAAATCAGGATTGATAGGGAAAGAGGCCGGGGAGTCATTACATTAAACAACCAGAGGCTAGAACAGCGGGATCCAAGAGCCATGGCTCGATCCTGCAGGCATAAATAGGTTATCTTGAGATGGTTATCTTGAGATGATTTCGGTTTTTTTTTTTTTTTGTCTCCCCGCGGCCTGGTCCTCGACCAGGCCTCCACCCCCAGGAAGCAGTCCGTGACAGCTGACTAACACCCAGGTACCTATTTACTGCTAGGTAACAGGGGCATAGGGTGAAAGAAAATCTGCCCATTGTTTCTCGCCGGCGCCTGGGATCGAACCCAGGACCACAGGATCAAATAGGTGAGTACAAATAGTAATTACATACACATACACTCACACATGCGGAGGCGAAATCGTGCCTAACAAACCTCTGGAATTCTATGATAAAATAACGAGGATAAGACAGGACAGAGAAGCATAGGCAGACTGCATATTTCTGGACTGCCAAAAAGCCTTTGATACAGTACCGCACATGAGACTGCTGTTCAAACTTGAGAGGCAGGCGGGGGTGGGGGGAAAGGCCCTAGCATGGGTAAGGAACTACCGAACAGGAAGGAGCCAGAGAGTAACGGTAAGGGGCGAGAAGTCGGACTGGCGAACAGTAACGAGTGGAGTACCTCAAGGATCGGTGCTGGAACCAATTCTATTTCTATTATACGTGAACGACATGTTTACATGCGTAGAGTCCTACATGTCAATGTTCGGGGATGACGCAAAGTTGACGAGAAGAGTTGTGACAGATGAGGATTGCAGGATCCTCCAAGAGGACCTGAACAGGTTGCAGAGATGGTCAGAGAAATGGCTACTGGAGTTCAACACGAGCAAATGTAAAGTTATGGAAATGGGACTAGGAGATAGGAGACCAAAGGGACAGTACAAAATGAATGGGAACTGCCTACCTGTGACGACGCGAGAAAGAGACAAAATGCTAGCATTTGCTAGCAAAAGTGCTAGCTAGCAAAAGTTAGAACTTCATTCAGAAACCTAAGTAAGGATGCATTCAGAGCAATTTATATTGCCTACGTGAGACCAGCCTTAGAGTATGCAGCCCCATTATGGTAAAACGCAAGGAAACTGGAGAAGGTTCAGAAGTTTGCGACGAGGCTCGTCCCAGAATTACAAAGGATGGAGTATGAAGAGCGACTGAAGGAACTGAACCTTACGACACTAACAAAAAGGAGGGAGCCGGGAATACGATAGACGTACATATAAAATACACAGGGGAATTGACAGAGTGGAAATTGACGAAATGTTCACACGTAATAATAACAGAACTAGGGGATATGGGTGGAAGCTGGAAACTCAGATGAGTCACAGAGATGTTAGGAAGTTTTCTTTTAGCGTGAGAGTAGTGGAAAAATGGAATGCACTTAAGGAACAGGTTGTGGAAGCAAACACTCTTCATAATTTTAAAACTAGATATGATAGGGAAATGGGACAGGAGTCTTAGGTCTAAACAACCGATGGCCAGAAAGGCGGGATCCAAGAGTCAATGCTCCTGCAAGCACAAATAGGTGAGTACAAATAGGTGAGTACAATTAGGTGAGTACAATTAGGTGAGTACAAATAGGTGAGTACACACACACACACACACACACACACACACACACACACACACACACACACACACACACACACACACACACACACACACACACATACACACATACACACATACACACACATACACACAT